TGTGTAAATAATGATACATTCAGATAAATGTAATTTTCCACAGTAACTACCAACTATCAATTCAATGAGGATACTAACTAGTGCCGCTTTGCCAACAGCACGAGTCACTGATCCAGCCAACAGCCCTCTTCTTGGAGCCCTTCTCGAATGCAATCCCTCTGATCTGATTCTAGGAAAAAAAATCCCAGACCCCAGAATGATGAAAGGCAGGGTGAAAGACATTGATGTACATGATGCCTTCTACCAACTCACCAGATGCTTGATCATCCCAAATATCATCTATTTCTTGAGATGATTCCCAACCTTCGACAGTCCAAAAACTCAAATAATATGTCTCTTTTAAAGTTCATATGAGAAAGTGTACTGAATCTTTTCCACGAAGATGGACAGCGGATGCAAGCGTCACTTCCGGTCAGACTTGGTTGATGGGCATATGTAAATCCTCTCGTATTGCCCTGCCAGCTATCTTATCCTTTTCTATACCATCGGAAGTTCTAATAAAGCAAATCTTTCTAGACGACCTGGGTGGTGTAGCGGGAATACAAGATCCAAGATTCACCAGAGTCATTACCAAGTGGGAGATTCGCTACTCTAGAGCAGCGAAACCCAGTGCAATGCTGAAAAGGTGTAATACAATATACTTCAAGTTGCAACGTCCAATAAAGAGACTGCTCGTCTCCAATCTGTGAGAGCACGTCATTTGAGGACTTCTTAACAGTTTTCATTTCGACAATGGGCACACATTCCGACCCACAGACCTTCCGTATTGCGTTTCCTCAAAGAACTAGGTTCCAGGATCAATGACACCACTAACGACCCAAAGGCTGCCACATCTATGTTCCAGCGTATCAGAGTGATCTTCCAGTCCGGGAATGCCTGCTGCATTTTTGGCATGTGTCCAGTTTCGGAGGAGTTGGAGGAAATTCGTAATCTCATTTGATACCGTACTGTTCTAAAGATGTTTGTGTCTTTTCACAATATATATATATATATATATATATATATATAAAATATATATATATATATATATATATATATATATATGCAAAACAAACAACCACTGTGAAAGAATAGAGAAGTTCCAAGCGCTTTCGTGACTTGGAACTTCTCTATTCTTTCACAGTGGTTGTTTTACATATTCTGAAATCACCTGTTTACTGTGATCTTATTGCATATATATATATATATATATATATATATATATATATATATATATATATATATATATATATATATATATATATATATATATATATATATATATATATATATAAATATATACATATAATATATATATATATATATATATATATATATATATATATATATATATATATATATATATATATAATATATATTCTTTGTAATAAATCACCTGTAATTTTGTTTTAAAGAAATGTGCGGGGTTGTAACTGGAGGGCAAGTGTGTGCTATTTCTGCAATCTACTGCTGTACTGTGAGAGCATCAATACATTTTTGGCAACATTCCATGTCCTCCGGAAATCTAATTGGTGAGACTTCTGTCACACACTTTTATACTGAGCCCCTCGCCATTTAATCAGCCAAGTTAGTTACTTACTAGTTGTCCAGGTTGTTATAGTTATGTGGCCCACGGGCCGCTACCACTAGCAGCTTGGTTGACCAGCAGGCAATCAGGGAAATCTGGCCCCAGAACAAGATGCGAGCGTGGAGAAGTCCTGGAAATCCCTCTCACACACCTCACGGCTAAGTCACCAGCGATATGTGCTTTAAATTTACCTCTTTCCAACCTCTTCTTCGCCATTGTTATCGCTTCATATCTTTTTTTCTTCTTCAAGGTATGGACGGGGGTTAGAATCCCTGAACTCGTATCTCTGTGACCCATCCCGTGTGATGAAACATGACAGGGAACCACAGAGGAGGTAGCTCTCGTTTCCATGATATAATCATGGAATATGGAAGAAGCACATTGAGGATATACCTAATTTTGGTAAATGGACAAAAAATAGGACTGGTGCCGAGCAGTTTAGAGCGATGCCGAGCAGTGGAGAGTGGTGCCGAGCAGTGGAGAGTGGTGCCGAGCAGTGGAGAGTGGTGCCGAGCAGTGGAGAGTGGTGCCGAGCAGTGGAGAGTGGTGCCGAGCAGTGGAGAGTGGTGCCGAGCAGTGGAGAGTGGTGCCGAGCAGTGGAGAGTGGTGCCGAGCAGTTTAGAGCGATGCCGAGCAGTGGCGAGTGGTGCCGAGCAGTGGAGAGTGGTGCCGAGCAGTGGAGAGTGGTGCCGAGCAGTGGAAAGTGGTGCCGAGGAGTGGAGAGTGGTGCCGAGCAGTTTAGAGCGATGCCGAGCAGTGGCGAGTGGTGCCGAGCAGTGGAGAGTGGTGCCGAGCAGTGGAGAGCGGTGCCAAGCAGTGGAGAGTGGTGCCGAGCAGTGGAGAGTGGTGCCGAGCAGTAGAGAGTGGTGCCGAGCATTGGAGAGTGGTGCCAAGCAGTGGAGAGTGGTGCCGAGCAGTGGAGAGCGGTGCCGA